GTGGAGCACTGGAACAGGTTGCCCAGGGAGGTGGTTGAGGCCCCTTCCCTGGAGATATTCAAGGGGAGGCCTGATGAGGCCCTGGGCAGCCTGGTCTAGTTGGGGGTGTCCCTGCTGACTGCGGGGGGGTGGGACTAGATGGCCTTTGGAGGTCCCTTCCGGCCTGGACAATTCTATGATTCTTTGTCCCTTTGATGCAGCATCAGCAACAGTTCAGAGCTGCCTCTTGCCTTTGATGTAGCATCAGCAACAGTTCAGAGCTGCCTCTTGTGTTTCGGGTATTACTGACTTTTGGGCTTTTCTTTCTGTCTGGATTTTACTTGAACTTTCTTGCCCTGAAGCACTACTTTACTTTTTTTTTTTTTTTTTAATCTGTGCCCGTCAGATTAAAAAGGCAAACTTTACAAATATCTCCCATCTGCTCCGCGGGGCTCGTTTTCACCTTCACGAGTGTCGTAAGAAGGTCGTATCGTAGCCAAAGGATTGTGCCACGAGCGTTATCCGTGTTGGCTCAAATCGGTTATGGGTATTTTTGGGATGCCAAGAGATGTAGGCAAATTGTTGAGGAGATCAGAGAAGAGAGGGGGAAACCATGGAGCAGAAGGAATTGACATGGAGAAAGCTTAAAAGGGCCTGTAGAGCTCAGCGAAGCAACATCAAAGGGTCGGCGGCGATATTGGAAGGGTTTAACGTGGCAGCCAAAGAAGAAATATTGAGCAGGGTGCAAGAAGTTCTAATTATTCTGTGAAATGAAACGAACAGCCTGAAATCAACAGCAGGAAGAAAGCTTCTGATAGTGAATTTTGTAGCTGTGGGTGGCCTTTGAGGGGGGATTCTTTGGGCTGTGTTACAGATTATCGGTTAAAGGGTTTAAAACATTAAAATGGAAGAAGTCTCACATTGGTAACAGAAAGGCCTGGAGATGGGCTCTTTGGAGGAATTCTGTTTCAGCTGTGTTTTCCAAACCTAATGCTGGTTATTGAAGAGGTTAAAAATCAGCTTGTCCACCAATGATGAGATTTTTAAAAATTACTGTCAGTGTGCCCTGAAACCCATTTCCATGTCAGTCCTGAGGAAAGGCGGTGGGAGCAAGTTCAAACTAGCAGGAGTCCCTGCCAGGAGGTCTGATAAAGCAAAAAACAGTGAGGGAAACAGCCCCTACTTAAGCAATTTGGCTTCAGCCTTGTCTTTGTGTGCAGGACCTGCCTTGTACCGGCGACTGAAGGAATATCTCATGACCGAGGAGCAGCTGAAGGAAAACGGTTACCCCATGCCTCACCCGGAGAAGCCCGGTCGCGCCGTCCTCTACACTGTGGAGGAGAAGAAAACAACTGACTGTAAGCTCTGCTGGCTCTTTCCTTCTGCGAGGTTTGCTAGATACGTTACAGCTGGAGATACCTGTCCTGCTAGCAAAAGCTCTTTTGGCATAAAAATGTTCTTGGTCTCAGCATGGAGCCAACAACAGGCTCCTGTTGTGGTGGGTCTCCGTGGCGATGACCTGTCTCAGCCATCACGGAGGAGAGGAGCGTGGCGAGAGGAGGTGCTGCCTTTCTAGAGGACGAGGTTCTTCAGCTCCTGTGTCACCAAAACATTGTTTTTGGCACAAGGTTTATAGATGGTGGCTTGTGGCGCTGTGAGGACAAGGGGTAATGGCTCCAAGTTGCACCAGGGGAGGTTTAGACTGGACATTAGGAAACAATTCTTCACAGAGAGAGTGGTGGGGCATTGGAACAGGCTGCCCAGGGAGGGGGTTGAGTCCCCATCCCTGGCTGTGTTTAAGAACCGTTTAGATGTGGTGTTGGGGGATATGGTGGAGGGGAGAACTTTAGAGTAGGGTGGATGGTTGGACTCGATGATCCCGAGGGTCTCTTCCAGCCTAGATGATTCTGTGATTCTGAGGCTGAATGAGGTTTCTAATTGCTGCCAAAGACTATGAATTAGAATCACAGAAGGGTCAGGTTCCTCCTGGACGAGCTGCCTTTGGCCTCCCCCTGGGAGGGCACATCTTCTGTGGGTGCAGGTTTTGACTCCAGCTTGTGGCAGTCACCCAGGGGCTCCCTGCCACTGTGAGGGAATTGCTTGGCTCCTGTTTAATGTTTGATATCACTCCCCTCTCCCTGGGGAAGGATCTTTTGTGCCTCTGTGTATGAACTGCTGTTGTGGTGGGATATGGATTGACGTAGAGACATTAGGGCTGCAAAGATGATGAGGGGACAAGAACACCTCTCTTATGAGGAAAGGCTGAGGGACTTGGGGCTTTTTAGTCTGGAGAAGGGAAGGATCTGAGGGGGGATCTCATCAGTGCTTATAAATACTTAAAGGGTGGGTGTCAAGAGGATGGGGCCAGTCTTTTTTCAGTGGTACCCAGTGATGCGACAAGAAGTAACAGGCACAAACTTGAACATAAGAAGTTCCATCTAAACGAGAGGCGGAACCTCTTTCCTGTGAGGGTGGCAGAGCCCTGGCAGAGGCTGCCCAGAGAGGTGGTGGAGTCTCCTTCTCTGGAGACATTCAAACACCCCCTGGACACGTTCCTGTGGGACCTGCTCTGGGTGGCCCTGCTCTGGCAGGGGGTTGGACTTGGATGGTCCCTTCTAACCCCTATCATTCTGTGACACTGGGAAGGCTGGTGTTGCAGTGGGTCCTGTCTTGCCAGTTTGGATTGCAGAGTTTTCTGCTTGAGAGCACAGGACCAAGCAGTTCCCAAAAGCCCTTTTTGCAGCTGGACAAAGTGATCCCCCAGGTTTCCTCAGGACAGGGTGGGCTCCTCTTCTGACCCTGAATTTTCTGACCTCCAGTAGGAGGATTTGTGCTTCTCAGACAGTGCTGGGAGCAGGCTGGGATGGAGCAGGGATGAAACACGTACTCAGGGTGTACTGCGAGGTGCTCCTCTGAGCATCTCCGTGGAGAGACCTCGCTGAAGTGTGTTAAGTGCTCATCCATGTTAACACCTTGTGTCTACATTTGTCCTGCTGTTGCTGAAGCAACCTGTACCAAAGCTCTCTTGCATTAACACTGTCAAGTACTGTATTTGTTAGAGCCCTTCTCTCCAGCGAACTGGCCAGCTCCTTTGTACCATTCTGAGATCACCTTCCTGGTTCTGTTTCTGTAGTTTCCTGCAGATTTTGCAGGATCTTTGAATTTTTTTATTTCTTATTTGACTAAAGCTGTTGCTAGTCCATCAAAGCTGCAACTGTGGGCAGGTGACACAAATGGTCTGGATGGGTGTTAAGCAGGGCTGGGAGTGTGTTAGCAGCTTAAATGCTCACACTGGAACTCAGGGAATTGTGTGGACATCAGAAGAATGACAGTCAACCCCTTTATGTGGCTTTTTGCACCTCCCTTCTCTGAATCTTGAGCAGTTCAGGCACGGGTGGCAGGAGGGGGACATCTGTCCCTGTCCCTCGGTGGCCCAGGCTCTGCTGCTCTAAGCGTTCCTGTCTTTAGATGCTGAAGAATCCTTACAGAAAAGCTGTGCCCAGGAAGAACTCAAATGTCATTTAGAAGTGACAAGGCACAGATCCCCTGCAAACCAGGCTTCATTAGCGCTGATGTCCAACGAATGACTGATTTATCCTGTTTTTCAAAATAACTGTGTTAAGAGCCCAACGTAATTTGCTGGGGATGGAGAAACAATGGGGTGAATGTTGATGTGAGCTGTGTTGGAGCCAGTGTTGCACACCCAAAACACCCGAGAGTCTTATGTTTGCCTCTGAGAAATGTTTGGGGAGCAGATGCTACAGGATTGCATTTTCAGAGGAATTGCTGTGTCTTTATTGGAGTCTAAAACAACATTTGGAATCCTTTTTAACGAGAAAAGTTGTTTCACCGGTGTTTGGGCCTTGGGTGATTCTGATTTCCTTGTGCTTTGGCCAAGTTTAAAGGTGAGGGATTTCTAGTGACCTGACTCTTGCTTCTCTCCTCTCCCAAAGCCTCCTGCAGGATTTGCTGTCGCTGTGGCACCGAGTACATGGTCTCAGCCTCCGGGAACTGCATTCGCAAGGAGGAGTGTGTCCATCACTGGGGAAGGCTGCGCAAGCAGAGAGGTACATCTCTTCAGAGAGGGCTTGGTCACATATTAGCTCCAAAACCAGAATCTACCTGGGGTTTGAGTTGCTGTGGAACATTTTGGGGAAACAGAATCTACCAGGGGTTTGAGTTGCTGTGGAACATTTTGGGGCTTTCAGGGACTTGTCAGACTCACAGGTTGTGGCAGTTCCTGGTTTTGTCACTGGGTGGCCCTGCTGCTGCTGCTGCTGTGACATCGCGCAAAGAGCCGCTGGGGAGTAGTGGTACGATCCTGAAAATGGGACTCTGGGGCTGGAGCAGAGGTTGTTTGTCTTTGTTAAAAAAAAAAAAAAAAAAGAAAATGAAAAAGAAAAAGAAAAAAAAAAAAGAAAATGAAACCTTCCTGTGCCTTTTGAAAAAATCAGTCTGTTTAGGAATCTCCCTTGGGAGCACTGGGTGTCTGTCACTGCCCAGGAGAGTTTACTGGTCATGGGTGAATTCATTTGTAGCAAGACACTAACCTAGTTTATGCTCTGCTGGGGTTTTCCATCAGAGCATCCTGGTGGCTTCTGGAGTTTGTCTGGCTGAGACTTAAACTCTTTAGATTGCTGCGTGCGAATCTATACTTATTTTTCCCCTTTGTTTGACACTTTATTGCTGCTGTGCTTATCCGGGGTATCTCTGTGTGCCAGAGCTAAAGTTTAGGTCTCTTGTTAACAGGACTCTTCTCTTTGACTCTTATCTCTTGTTCTTTCAGTGCCAGGTGGATGGGAAACTCATTACAGCTGCTGCTCAGGAGCTGTGGGTTCACCAGGCTGCCAGGTTGCTAAAGTAAGACGTTGAGCAACACCTTTTTACTCTCAATAACATTTGTCCTTTGCTTACAGTGGTGACGGCTGTGTAGTCCCTGCTTAAGCCTTTAGAAGAATGGTGGCTTGCCTTAAGAGGGGAAAACAAGTACTTCTTAAATACCTTTTGCTATGCAAAGGTAGAAAAATTCAGTGTTTGGCAGGAGGGAGGAGACTCAGCTGCCTGGAGTGAGGTGGTTTCATTTGTTCTAAGCAAATGCCAGTGGATTAAGCTGCCCAGCAAAAGCTCAGACACAGACTTCTTTAGGGAAACATTGAGGAAGTGAGAAATAAGGAATTTCCTTCTAAGGAGCAGTCTCAGGGCCTTGACAGCAAAATGCCAAAACCTTTTTCCCATTTTTTGCTTTCCCAGATGCCTGTGCTAAGGTAACTTTCTGCTGTAGGCCAAATTTTTTCTTAGTTTTCCATTAACTGCTGATCTTTATTGTATGAAGGGGAGGAATCTTCGAAATCTTCCCAAAGAACCTGTTGTAACTCACAGAAATTATTTTTCTTGAGCGGTTGTGTATGAAGCAGAATGAAAAACCTGCTTTTAGCCCTTTGATAGAGCTGAGCATGGTTTGGAAGGTTTGGGATATTTGTGCCCAGGTGCTTTTTTTTCCCCTTTAGGCAAGAGGAGAGTTGGCTTCCCAGCCTGGCATTACTGCTCCTCAAACCATTGACTGGAGGGAGGAATCCATCCTTTGCTCTCCTTTGTGTCTCTGGGGATTCTCCTCATCACTTGTTTCAGTGGTATTTTTATATTTGGCTGCCCTGAAGGGGAGAGGAATGTGAGAGCTGAGAGAAGGGATCTAAAAGGGTCATGTCCAGTGGAAGGGGCTCCCAGAGGCATCTTTAGTCCCACTTTTTGAAAGTCCCCAGGCCATACAAGGCCAGCGAGGCTGGCTGTAGGTTCTGCAGAGGTGTGTGCCCTTCTTCTTCTCATTCTGGCCAAAAGCCAGAGAGAGGAAGCGAATTCTGGGGTGAAATTCAAGGCTTGTCAAAATAGGAAGAATTGTCTGGGCATCCTGAAGGGTGCCCTGCAGAGCCTGGGGCACCGATGGGATCAGGCTGCTACTTCTGTTTCTTTTTCGTGTGAAATGAGGATCCCTTTTTAATCAGAGCTCCAAAAAACATCCAGCAGGGAAGTTGGGAGAAATTAATGGGGCTATAAAAACATGACTTCTCTGCATGTTTTTGCCTGGCTGTTGTAGACCATAAAACCTCATGGCCTTTTAAGGAACGTACAATCTCTCTAATGGCCTCTTACTCAGTGAAGCGTGTGCCACCAGTGCTCTGGGGCTCAGGCATCCTGGCGCATCTGCCTCCTGGTTGTTGTGCTGCTACAGATCACTGGGGTCTGGCTTCCTTCATTTCTCATCCAAAACATGTAAGTTTCCCAGCATCCTGTGTTAGATTGAAGGTTGGAGTCCAGAGCCTGCTCCAGAGCAAGATACTGGGATGTTTGGGCTACTGGTGAGCGCAGTGTCGCTCAGCTTTGGAAGAGGCCATTGAAAACAGCAATTATTTGTAATAAGAAATTGTTTTAAGTAACTAGATTAGAAAATCATGTCTGTGTCTTCCTTCCAAATGCATCTGAGATGTGCCTGCCTGGGTCCTGCTGCAGTTGGGCTGTGTGGCAGGAGATGGCAGGATGGAGCTGTGCTGGTACCTGCTGCTCCCCAGGAGCCAGGGAGGCTGGAGCTGCTGGTCTTTGTGATACCCGAGTCTGCTGCTTTCGCTGCTCTGAAAAACAGAAGCAACTTTTCCACCCTCTTCTCAGCAAGGGAGAACCAGGCAGTTGCAGAACATCAGCTAATGTAGAAAAACACCCCATTTATTTTTGTTTTCCTTTCCTTCGCTGCCCAGTTGTGTTGTATTACAGAGGGAGGGAAGGGATCATGGTGCAAGGGAGAAAAACATTTACTATCTGTTGGCCTGGTGATCTGCTCTACCCATTTCTTTAGCAAAACAGATGCAGAATGGACAAGTGTGGGCTCTTGCTCCTGGGGAGCAACAAACTACGTGGCCTTTGAGCGGTGCTGGCTTTGGATACAGGGAGAGATTGGACTCAGTGTGGGCCCAGCTGCCTTGTTCACTTCAAATGATGTGGTTCTGTGTTCTCTGGCTGCACCTGCAGCAATAACCTGGGCAGGAAAACAGGCAAATGCTTGGTTTGGTTATCCCCCTGCCTGCAGGTATCAGTTTTACAAGTGCCTCAGTTGCTCATCTCTCCAGCCTTTCTATCCTGAGACACACAAGTCCAGTCTGATTCCTTGTTGGGCGAGCTCTGGGAGAAGCAGGATGGAGGAGGCTGTGCACAGGCTGCTGTGATTGTGTGCAAATACAGTGAGATTTAGGGGCAGACCAAATTTAAACAAACACAAAAACCCCACTGGGGAATAAGGGCGAGAGGGCATCACCTCTGGGTGTGGGGCAGCGGTTTCGTTCCACCTAAAACCATGTCAGTGGGCAAAAAGGAGGCACGATCTCTGCCTTGTCCTTGGTTACACCCTCCTGCTTCCCCAGTGGTGCTGGTAACTGGATCAGCACAAATCAACCAGTTTAAACTCCCCCTGCAAAGAAGGGTTTCAGGCTGGTTGGGCAGGGTGGGACCCTTTGTCGCAGAGGAGAGGGGCAGTGCCTGTGCCAACAGCAGCTTAGTCTCGGGATGGCTTAAGCCACTCATGGAATGACTCCCCGCGTTTTCCTGGTGCCTTGGGGAGCTCTTCTCTGCTGGGATCTTGTTGACCCTCAAGTTTTACCTGGGGATAACGAAGAGCGGTTGGAAATGGTCTCTGTTTATTCCTCAAGTGCTGGTAGGCAGCAGCTCCTGTTTGTCTGCGAACCATCTGGGTTTGGAACAGGGTGGCTTTTATTTGTGTGCACACACTGACGTTGGCTGGTGCTTCATTACACCCGTTTCTGCTGCCCTCTGTGGGCTGTGATACCCCTGATGCTGATGCTCAAACTGGGATGTCTGGGGTGAGGGTCCTGCACCTGGGTGTTCTCAGCCACAAGCTAACCCAGGAACCAGCAGCTGGTGTTGTAAGACCTTGGTGTGACCCCTTCTAAGTAATTCTGCTTCAAGTTGAAAGTTAAAAGCCACTTGTCCTCAGGTGTGAGATGTGTTGCTCCCATGGGAGCTGTCAGTGTGATGCCACTGGCCCTGATGGGGCTTTGGAACCAACTCATGTGAGCTGTCAGTATGGTGCCACTGGCCCTGATGGGGCTTTGGAACCGGGGTCATTCCTGGCGATGTTTGCCATTCCTGGAATTGTCAGAGTTGGAAGGGACCTCTAGAGATCATCCAGTCCAACCCCCGGCCAAAGCAGGGTTGCCCAGAGCACATCCCTCAGGAGCATCCAGGCAGGGCTTGAAGATCTCCAGAGAAGGGGACTCCACACCCTCCCTGGGCAGCCTCTGCCAGGGCTCTGCCACCCTCACCCCAAAGAAGTTCTTCCTCAGATTTGAGTGGAACTTCCCATGGTCCAGCTTGTGCCCGTTGCCCCTCGTCCTGTCACTGGGAATCACTGGAAAGAGTCCGGCTCCATCATCCTTCAGCCCACCCTTTAGGAACTTGTAAACATAGATGAGGTCTCCCCTCAGTCTTCTCTTCTGGAGGCTAAAGAGTCCCAGCTCTTTGAGCCTTTCCTCACCAGGGAGATGCTCCAATCCTTGAATCATCTTTGTTGCCCTACACTGGACTCTCTCCAGTAGTTCCCTGTCTCTCTTGAACTGGGGAGCCCAGAACTGGACGCAGGATTCCAGTTGTGGCCTCCCCAGTGCAGAGCAGAGGGGGAGAATGACCTCCCTCTACCCCTGGCCACACTTCTCCCTGTGCAGCTCAAGATCCCATTGGCCTCTTGGCCACAAGGGCACATTGCTGGCTCGTGGAGAGCCTGCCATCCACCAGGACTCCCAGATCCTTTTCCTCAGTAGTACTTCCCAGAAGATCCACCCCTAACCTATACTGGTGTCTGGGGTTCTTCCTCCCCAGGTGCAGGACCTTACATTTGCCCTTGTTGAACCTCATGAGGTTCTTCTCTGCCCAACTCTCCAGCCTGTCCAGGTCACGCTGGATGGCACCACAGCCCTCTGGAGTGTCAGCCAGCCCTCCCAGTTTGGTATCATCAGTGAACTTGCTCTGTCCCCTTCTGGTGACCTTCTCCGACTGATGGGCAAAACGTAGTCCTCATCAAACTTTAGAAACGATTAGAAAAATTCTGCTTGTTTCAGTGGGAGGTTCTGTTGAAGTGGACTTTTTGGATTCTTGTTCCTACCATCATCAAACAAATTTCCCCCCCCCCCTTTTTTTTTTTCCTTTAAGCAACATGTCCACGATGGGCGAAAGGAGAGCCTTGATGGCTTTGTGAAGACTTTTGAGAAGTTGCCTACAACTGATGGGTACCCTGGAATCTACGCGTTAGACTGTGAAATGGTGGGTGCTCAATGACAGGGGCAATGCAGAAGTAAAACAAAGCTTTTTTGGGGAAGACCGAAGGTGTGATACAAGTGGCTGAAGGGAAAGCTCTGCTTTTCTGCCACCTTCTTTCCTTTCTGCTCTGGACTCTAAATCATATTGGTCTTGTACACATAAATTAGCTCTTAATTAGTTGTAGCAATGTGTCTTTCATTTGGGGACTGCACGCACCCTTGGAAAGCTGTAGTTAGCTGGCTGATACTGAGCAGGGTTTGCTGCTATGGTGGAGGTGCTGCATTTTGGGAGCTGTGGCCCTTGGGTGATGGGCTCCATCGACACCGTGCTGTGGTTGCCACGTGTGTGTCTTCACACCTGCTCTGTTGCTCGCAGTGCTACACCAAACAAGGGCTGGAGCTGACAAGAGTAACCGTCATCAACTCCGACCTGAAAGTGGTGTACGACACCTTCGTCAAGCCAGACACCAAGGTGGTGGACTATAACACCAGGTAAGGATGGAAGATGGTCTTCCGTGGGTCAGAATTTGGGGGGAATGGCTGGCAGCTCTTGGTGAAACTCCATTGACCACGCTTTGGGTCTTGAGATGTTCCTTTAGTGAAGGAAGGCCTTCTTTCTGCTCTTACTCTGCAGATTCTCAGGTGTGACAGAAGAGGACCTGGAGAACACTAGTATCACCCTGCGGGATGTCCAAGCCGTCCTACTGAACATGTTCAGTGCAGATACCATATTGATAGGCCACAGCTTGGAAAGCGACTTATTTGCACTAAAGGTAACTTTCACCTCTTGCATCTACGTCTCTCTCCGGTTCTTTCCCACCCCGGTGGGTGTTCTCTGTCTCCTTGTTTCCAGAACCAGGAGGACACAGAAGGTCTATCTTGTCTCTGAGTCCAAGGGAAGCTGTCTGTTATGGAAGAGCAAGGGTGTGGGTCGTGTGTGTCACTCGTGATGTCACTCACTCCAGCTCTTAATGACTGGTGCTGCCCAAGGTGACAGACCTCTGGAGGTCACTGGGGAGGGTGAACAGAGCAGGGCCGGTTGGAAGAATGATCTCAAATCATTGGCTTCTCACCCCTTGGCCATATAGTCAAGAGTCCTCTGTTGGTGTCAGCATCCTTTGACTGGCTTGGAGATGTGCTCAACCAGGGTCAAAGTGGGTTGCCCAGCGAAGTTGTGGCTGCCCCATCCCTGGAAGTGTTCAAGGCCAGGCTGGATGGGGCCTTGAGCAACCTGCTCTAGTGGGAGGTGTCCCTGCCCAGGGCAGGGGGGTTGAAACTAGATGATCTTTGAGGTCCCTTCCAACCCAAACCATTCTATGATTCTAACAGGGGAGGTTCTGGGTCCCTCATGTCCCCTCTGGATGTCCACAGGTTGTATTTTAGAAACAAGCCAAGCCTCTTGATTGTCTCTGCCATTGGAGATAGTTTTCCTGGTTTCTCTTGTGATGTTAAGATGTCTGTTTTCTCTGAGTGAGGTTCTCTGCCTGGTTTGCTGAGGCTTGTGGTGTTTGACCCTTCCTCTGTCTGGTTTCCTGCCTGGCCCTGGTCACTCTGACCTGCACGTCTCTGCTGCCCTCTCCTCCCCTTGCACAGTGAACATAGGTCCCCGGGGGCTTGTCCAGGGTCACCAAGACAGCGTGTGCCGGGCAGGAGCTGAGCCTTCAGTCTGTGCTCAGAAGGCAGAACTTCCTCCAGCCGTCCTTCATCCTGCAGCTCCTTTGATGAAGAAGCTGCTGCTGCCAACTCACGGCGGCGGTTTGGAAGCGGGAGGTTTTAATGCCTGCAAAGCGCTTTACCTCTCCGTGGCACCCTTTATCCCGGCCTCTCGGAAGAGTTCATCATCATCATAAAAGAATTATTTGCAGTTTTATCAGCACGAGATGACGGCGCTGGCCTCTTAGAGGCATGATTTTCTCTCAGCATCGCAGAGGCTGCCAAGAGAGGGATATCACGGAGGGTGACAGGCGGGTGGCACGGCAAGCCGCAATGTCTGCAGGCTGTGGCAGTAAAGTCGAGGTCTAATGGCCATGGCAAGCTCCAAATGGCGACAGCATTTTCAATTTTTATTTAAAGCCATATTATCCCGTTTCCTCAGCCTTCCTGATCTCCATAAGTAATTATCGTGGTGCCTGGGTGGGTGCCAGACTTTGACTGCAGTCCGGGAGGGATTATCCGTAACGTCGGCGGTTTTCTATTGGGAAGAGCATGGCGGGTTGTTTGTGTTGAGCTGCAGCTGTTGGTGGGCATTTACTGGGAGGTCTGGTTTAGTGATGATGCTCCTTGTTTGTTGTGTGGGTGTCTATTTTTGTCAGTCAGGTTGACGGTTGGACAAGATGATCTTTAAGGTCCCTTCCAACCTAGAAGATTCTGTGATTCTGTGATTTACGGAGCGGGGGCTGTGAACCTCTGAATGATGAGGTCAGGGATTGTCACACAACATCAGCTGGTGCCTGGGAAGAGTGGAGGCAGATGAGGAGTTGGGATCATCAAGGTCCTGTCTGCATCGTCCTGCGTCCGGACTCACAGAGGCATCTTTTGGTCAGATGTCCGGGTTTCTCTCTTACACCTCACATTTTACTCTCGTGCTCAACACGTGGGGCTGCCTTCATCCACTTCCCTTTAACTCTCACTGAACACGTGTTTTGGCAACAGAGGATTAATCTTGTCTTAGCCTGAGAGTGAAAAATTAGTATTTAGGAGGGGGGTTTTACCCTGTGTTTGTGGCCTCAGTCAGATGTGCAGCACCTTGACCTGGTCAGCGGCTTCAGTTCCTCCAGCACGATGACACTTCAGACCTGGAGGGCAGGGAACCTCTCTCCTCTCCTGTGTGCCCAGGTGCTGTGACCTGAGCCCAGGACCTCCCCATCCACCAGGCAGTTCCTTATCCCCAGAAGTACAGGATCTCCTTGTCCCATTCCATCCCTGCTGAGCCAGTGCTGGTTAAAAACTTCCTGTTGACTCATTGCTGACGGACTGGGGATTTTCAGGGTGGTTTAGACCTCAGAGATGAAGCCTTTTCCATAGAAGCAGTGTCATGTACAATGGGTTAGGGAGTTTTGACTTGCACGTCCTTCCCACTTCAGTTCACTTCTTGAGAAGCAGTCGAAAGGCTGTTAGAAGCTTTGTGGCCTCAGCTGGTTCCTCATCTGAGTTTTCCATCGTGAAGGACACTCTCAGAGGTATCCCAACCTCTCCAGGCCCAGGGTATTAAGGGTCGACCTGTCCTGTTTTTGAGCTAGACAAGCTGAATTAGCCCTGAATTTGTGCTGCTTTGAACGTGCTGTTGGGCAGGGATGTGGGCTGGCAGAGCTTTGGGGAGCCAGATTATATACACTCTTTATAGCAGAGTCATCTTTGGTTCAGCCAGAGCCTCTTGCAGGACTGGTTGGGTGGGAGTTGGTGATAGCGTTGCAGCGGGAGCCTGACCGGAAGATTGCTTCAGTGTGGTTAATCCCAAGGAGTGTCTGTGCCTGTGGGAGAGGGGAAAATAACCAGGTTTCTTTCCTGCTTCCTCCCTTCCAGCTCATCCATGGCACAGTGGTGGATACCGCCATCGTCTTTCCCCACCGGCTGGGTTTGCCTTACAAACGGGCTCTGCGGACGCTGATGGCAGACTACCTCAAGCGCATCATCCAGGACAACGGTGAGAGCCAGGAGGAGCTGAGAGCCAGGGTCTGCTGTCCCATCCCACCTGGATGTGGGCTCCTTGTACCTGCCTTCCTCTGCTCTCCCCATCTCCCATCCTCTTGCTCCTCATCTTTCCTTCCTGCACAGCATCCGGCAGTGGTTCCAAATGGCCCAGTGCACGAAATCTCTGCCACAGTTTCAGTCTGAACCCTCTTTGAGGGCCAGCAGTACTCACTTCTTCCCCTGCTGTGCTAAGTGGGGACCAGAGCAGTGGTGTGAGAAGACCAGAGGGAGCTCTGTCAGCCTGGAGAAGAGGAGGCTGAGGGGAGATTTTATTGCTCTCTCCAACTCCCTGAAAGGAGGGTGGAGAGAGGGGGGGGTTGGTGTCTTTTCTCAAGTCACAGGCGACAGGACGAGAGGAAATGGCCTCAAGTTACACCAGGGGAGGTTCAGGCTGGATATTAGGAACAATTTTTTCCCTGAAAGGGTTCTCAGCCATTGGAATGGGCTGCCCAGGGAGGGGGTTGAGGCCCCATCCCTGGAGGTGTTCAAAAGCCGGGTTGATGTAGTGCTGGGAGGTCTGGTTTAGTGATGATGCTCCTTGTTTGTTGTGTGGGTGTCTATTTTTGTCAGTCAGGTTGACGGTTGGACAAGATGATCTTTAAGGTCCCTTCCAACCTAGAAGATTCTGTGATTCTGTCAAGGCCATGTCGTGCCCTCCCTTCTCTCTCTGGCAAGCTGAGATTGACCTTTCTGGCTGAAGCTTAGCATGTTCCTTTCCACCTTCCTTTGAGTTCTTTGTAAACATAATGCTGGGGAAGTTGAGGCCTCTCTGACCAGCTACTCTGTAGCCTGAGGGCCTCGCACTGGCAGGACTTCAGCCCTTAATTTAAACAAGGGAACGGTGTCAGGCTGAAATCCAGCAAAAAATGTGTTTAATGGAAATTCTTCTACTTTAAAGCCACCACTGTGGTTCACGGTGATGACAGATGGACCCGTGGCTGCTGTGGCAGGGGGCAGGGAGCAGCTGGGCCAGCAGCATCAGGCAGGACCTGGTCTTGGGCCACCTTCCTGTGTGATTGGTGCTGGGCAGGCAGCCCCCGAGGGGCAGAGGGGCCACCTGGGCCCGGGTAGTAACACTTGTCCTTGGCTTTGTGTTCCCAGTGGAAGGACACGACTCCAGCGAGGATGCCAGAGCTTGCATGGAGCTGATGGTCTGGAAGATCAAAGAAGACGCTAAAGTGAAGCGATGACTTGCGCTTTCTCTCTCTCCTCTTCCTCCTCCACCTCTTTGAAGCAGTGCAATAAATGCTCAGAGTACCACTGTCCACCCGTACGCAGCAGCATGCTCCCCGGGCTCCCCTCCAGGTACCTCTGGGACTCACAGACTGCTGCTGGCACAGCTGAAGGGCACCAGCAGGTCCCCGGGGCCAGGCAGTGGCTCTCAGATCCTCTTCGCCCCACCTGAGGGATGTTCTGTGGTACAACACTTGCCTTGTAGGCACAGCAAGGTGGTTTTTGAGTAGCACAACCAGAGAGAACTTCTTGGCTCCTAGGAGAAGCTTTTAGAGGTAGGTTGGATATGTGCAGAAGGATCTTTCTGGTTCAGTTAAAGGTAGATCTTTATCTTCTTTTTTTTTTTTTTTCTCAAATGTAACTTAACTTGCCTCTACTCCGAGCCTGGTAGATTCCTGCAGTGTCTGGAGATGGGGGGGAAAAGGCAGAAAGTTGGGAGGAAGCTGTAAAGTGAGTGGATTGTGTAGCTGGTGTGTGAATGACAAATGAGGGGTGGTGAGATCGGGGGCTGGAGCCATCGGGGAGGAGATCCCAGTGCAGTCCTGGGGCTGCCCCCGAGAGCGCGTGGTGGGAGCAGTGGGTCGGAGAGGAATGAGACAGGGTGAGGGGACTTGCCCCCTGCTGCCACCCTGGGGATCTCTTCGGTGAGAGCTGCCATCCTGGTTCTGCAGACTCTGCAAAAGGGGGAAACCACAAGGTCAGCCCTTGCCCAGACCTCAGGGAGCCGTGTGGGAAGCAGCGATGCCAAGGGACAGCGGGACTGGGACAAACTGGGCTCCCAGAGCCACCTTGCAGCCCTCCAGAGGAGGAGCCATGCTGGGGAGGACAGCGGGAAGAACAGGCCTTGTGTCTTGGTGGGTTAGGACAAGGTGTCCTTCCCCTCACCCTGAGCTTCCCTCGTGTCTCCAGTGAGCTGGTATTTAGGGATCAAGGTTTTTGGGGGGACCCGGGTGCAGCTGGGATTGCACTCGTGCCTGGACACTCTGCAGGACACCCCGCCCCTGTCCCTGAGAGCAGGGACTCCATGCAGGCCAGAGCAAAAGCAATAGGTAAAAATTAACGCTTTTAAACTAGTTTACATGTTGGGTGTTTTAAGGAGAGTTAAAGACCCAGTTACTGTCTGTCTGAGCCCAAAAGCAGCCATCGGGAGTGTCCTGGTGGTGGTGGCAGGAGCACAGGGGCATCCAGAGTGGCTCTGGTGGCCTCTGTCCACCCGGCCTCCGTCCCGTCAGGGGAACGAGGTCCCCGAGAGACGAGGTCTTTTAGCTGAGGTCCAGACAGCAGCTTTGCCCCGATATTAGAGCCCCTTGTCCCTCCCAGGTGGGGCTGTCATCGCTCCTGGCAGTGGCTGGTGTGGTGTCCCTGTCACGGGGTGGCAGTGGGGCAGGGGAGCTGCTGGGCTTTGGTTCCTCTCGGAGCTGGGTCCTGCTCGCTCCTCTGTACCCACCACCAGCGCTGGGCTCAGTCTGGGGACGTGCTGTGTGTCCCCAGCGTGGCCATCCATGGGGACTGTGGGGCTGGGCTGTGTGCCATGGGCAGGGTGTCCTGCTCAGGCCCCCCTGCGTGGGCCGGAGGGTGCTGGGGGGCTGTCCACGTCCCAACGCTGCCCTCAGAGGTGAGGATGTGGCTTCCAGCACTGAGCTCTCCTGGAGCCACCAGGGGAGCTGGGGACTGCGAAGGCTCCTGTTATTGCTGAGCCCTTTGGTGTTGCCTCTGGCGGGCAGTGACACGGGCTCCCAGCCTTCACTACCCCAAATTTTGGGCCGTGCAGCTCCCTGCCACCCCCGCAGTGGGACATGTGGCACCCTGCTCTCCTTGCAGCCGCCTCCTTCCCTGCCAGGGGGTTGGCTTCAGGTGAAGCAGCCTCAGGACACCTCGTCCTGTCCCCCTGTCCCATCTCCTGCAGGGAACAACCCCGTTCCTGCCCAGGCTGTGGGAGAGATGGGGCAAGTTCAGTGCTTCCTAACCAGGGAGGGGGGCTTAGTTCCTGCTTCTGCCTCTTTTCCCTTCTTTATCCCCCCGTTTACCTTCACCCTGGAGCATCATGGGAGAGATGGGGCGAGCTCAGTGCTTCCTAATAGGGAGGGGGGGCTTTGTTCCTGCTTCTGCCTCTTTTCCCTTCTTTATCCCCCCGTTTACCTTCACCCTGGAGCACCCCAAAGATCCACCAATAGGTTTCACAGCCAGCTCTTGCCTCGGGGCTCCCCTGCTACTTGATGGGGAATTCCAGCTCCATTCCCCTTCTCCTGCAGCACCCACCTTCCCTGGAAAAGCCGTCCCGTTAGACCAGGTGTCCTGGTGTCCTGCCTGGGGAGCTGGCTTGGTCCCAGCACCTGGGCTTGGGGACGGCAGGACGTGGCCCCAGGATGTGTTCCTCCAGGCGTGAGTCCTGCCAGGCTGGGGGACCTCCATCCTTCCCTTTCCTTTCCCCACAGTTCAGCTGGGATTCCCTAAAACGAGTTATTTTTGGAGTGGGGAGGGGTATCAGGGGAGATTGTCTGGTGGGACCATGGACCATGTCCCCCCGCGCTGTCGGTGTGGGTCAGAGCAAGTGTTGGACCCACGGGCTGCCCTCCCCTCCGCCCCCCCGGGCGCCGTAACACTGTAAACCCAGAGGTTTGTGGTTGGTAAGAGTTTTTGGGTTGTACATAACTATTGTAACCTGTAACTTTTTGTAATTGTTTTTAATAAAAGAGTGTTGACCTAGAGGCACGCTCCCGAGTCTGGGTCTGCTCTGCCCCTTGTCAGGTCAGGGGTGGTGGGTGCTGGAGCCACCCTGAAGGCCAGGGGGGGTCTGGGCAGGGTCCCCCAGGGCATCCCCTCAACTCACAGCAACTCTTACTCCCTCTGTGTCCTCCCAAAGAGCCTCTCCTGGGGCTCTGGAAGAGCCCAGCCTTCCCAGTCTTTGGAGCCAGCTGGGAGCTGGGGGAAATGGGGTGAAACTGGTGCCACTCGGCGGCTGCAAAAGTCCAACCCAATGAGCTGGGAGTGTGAGACCAGGTGGTGGCCCTGGTGCCTGGGGTGGTGTGGGCTGTGTCCTCGCTCTGTGCACACCTCCTTCTTCTTGGGTGTTGGGGGGTGAGAAGCTCCACACGCCCCTCAACGTGCGCTGGCAGCCCAGAAACCCCCCACCCCTGGGCTGCATCCCCAGCCCCGTGGCCAGCAGGGCCAGGGGGGGATTCTGCCCCTCTGCTCCGCTCTGGGGAGACACCCCCCAGTGCTGCCTCCAGCTCTGGGGCCACCACCAGCAGAAGGACATGGAGCTGTTGGAGCGGGGCCAGAGGAGGCCCCGGAGATGCTGGGAGGGCTGGAGCCCCTCTGCTGGGAGGGGGGGCTGAGAGAGTTGGGGGGTTCAGCCTGGAGAAGAGAAGGCTCCGGGGAGACCTTGGAGCCCCTTCCAGTCCCTAAAGAAGGGGGGCTCCAGGAAAGCTGGGGAGGGACTCTGGCTGAGGGAGGGGAGCCCTAGGAGGAGGGGGAAGGGTTGGACCCTGCAAGAGGGGAGATGGAGCTGAGCTGTGGGGTTGAACTTGTTTGGTGGGAGGGTGGGGAGAGCCTGGCCCAGGTTGGGCAGAGAAGCTGTGGCTGCCCCATCCCTGGAGGGGTTCAAGGGCAGGTTGGAGGGGGCTTGGAGCAACCTGGTGTGGTGGGAGGTGTCCCTGCCCAGGGCAGGGGGTGGCACTGGGGGGGGTTAAGTTCCTTTCCCACCCAGACCATCCTGTGGTTGTTCCTGCCACGCGGTGCCCTGAGCTCTGGCAGCAGAGGGGCAGGTCCTTGCTCCTCCTGTCTCCGTCCTGGATCTGGGACAGGAGCCCCCACCAGCACCGACGTCCTCCCACCGCCCGAGCAGTGGGGCAGGTCCTTGCTCCTTCTGTCTCTGTCCTGGATTTGGGGCAGGAGCCCCCACCAGCACCGACGTCCTCCCACCGCCCGAGCAGCCCCCCCAGGAGAGCCCGTATCAATCTCACAAATGGGGCAGGAATTAAAGTGCCAAGCGAAGGAGCTGATTCAGCACGGAGGAAGAGGTGAAGGTAAAAAGTTCAAATAAAAAAATAATAGGCTATTAGATGACCTCACTGGCAATGTGTTTTATTTAACGTGCCGGTGATGGCTTGGCCGTGGCAGCAGTTTCTTTAGGATGCTGTAAAAGTCACGGCTGACTCCTGTTCTCAGCCACCTTTATGGACCTCGGAGGTGCTGGGTGCTCCGAGCTCCGGCCGTGCCCCCCCAGGTGCCTTCAGTCCCTCTGCTCCCCCCCATGTCCCCCTCCTGCAGCTCACCCCCACGGGGCCGGGGGGGACTTAGGGGTGAGCCCCCGGTCCCGGGTGGGTATGGCCTCGGGGTGCGGACAGAGGGGTGGAAGGACAGACCTGCTGGTCCTGCGGGTGCCTGTTCTGTATCTGCCTCGGGGGGGTCTGGGACCCACATTTTTCCCTGGAAAACCCTGTCTCCTGGGGGCTCGGCGGGAGCTGGGGAATTTCCAACAGGAACCGCAGTGAGGGGCTTGCTTAAAAGCTTTTTCTTTTTGGGGTTCTTCACAAGCAGAGCCCTGGACCGTGGCTCTGCCTGTGTCCCCCCCCCTCCCCATCACCTCCATTTTCAGATGCTAAATATGGGGAAGGAAAGGAGCAGGGAGACCCCCATAACCCCAGGCCCTCTCCCCCAAAGTCAGGCAAAGTCCCCCTCCCCAGGCAGCTCCTTTGGGGTGAGCTGAAGTTTGGGGAAGGAAAGTGCAGAAAAAGGCCCCATTTGACTCCAGAGGGAGGGGAGGGGTGAGTTCAGAGGGGTTGGTGCATCACAAATCCCCCCCCTCCGTTGTCCCCACCCTCACCAGGCGTCCGTCCCTCGTCCCTGCTCACTGTCCCTGTATTGATCTATGGAAACAGCCTCTGGCCCCCTCCCGCTGAAGCTCTTCTCCAGGCAGTGGGTGTCCCTGGGCTGGTTGTGTCCTCGGGGCTGTCACGGACACGGGGACCTGCTGAGTCCCCCTCGGAGCTGGTCTGGGCCCCGCAGGGGCAGCGGGAGAATCAGAGAATAGAGTCATAGAATGGTCCAGGCCAGAAGGGACCTCCAAAGGCCATCTAGTCCCACCCCCCCGCAGTCAGCAGGGACACCCCCAACTAGACCAGGTTGCCCAGGGCCTCGTCGAGCCTCTCCTTGAATATCTCCAGGGAAGGGGCCTCAACCACCTCCCTGGGCAACCTGTTCCAGTGCTCCACCACCCTCACAGTGAAGAACCCTCTCCTCATCTCCAGTCTAAATCTGTTCCCCTCCAGCTTGAAGCCATTGCCCCTTGTCCTGTCACTGCAGGCCTTTCTAAACAGGCTCTCCCCAGCCTTCCTGTAGCCCCCTCAGGTACTGGAAGGCTGCTATTAGGTCTCCCCGGATCCTCCTCTTCTCCAGGCTGAACAACCCCAGCTCCCTCAGCCTGTCCTTGGAGCAGAGGTGCTCCATCCCCCTGATCATCCTTGTGGCCCTCCTCTGGACCCTCTCCATCAGGTCCATGTCCTTCTTATATTGAGGGCTCCAGCCCTGCTCCTGTCCCCCTGCCCCGGGTGCTGCTCGGCTGCTCCCCCCCCACCTCCAGCTCCGCTTTCCCAAGCAGGGAGGGAGTTCCCAAACCCAAATCAACGCCGCCTCAACCCCAAACCTGCCCCCTTGCAAGGGTGGTGAGAGGTTTTGGGCAGCCTGGGGCCCGGTTGGGCACGTGGGGGTCATTATGTGTCCCCGTTCTGCAGCTGAGACCAGGCAGCTCATCACACGGATGCATTTGCAGATGCTGACAGGGCCCACCCTGGGGCACATCTCATCCTGCAGCATCAGCCCCTGGCGAGGGGCGTCCACGGGGCGTCTGTGTCACCCCCTGCCACCGAGCCACCCGCCGCGGGTCAGAGGTGACCACGGTCATCGATCCTCTCTTTAAAAAGCTTTTTATCAGGGTCTGTCCGGACCCTCCGGGGGGGTGAGGGCTGGGGCCAAGGCCGGGGGACGAGTGTCGAGCACACGTCGGGGGTGCCGTGGCTCGTGTGTGTCACCCTTTCGTGGTGACATCGGGGTGACGAGGCCCTTCCTGCCACGGTCAATGGGGACAGGGACCTCGTGGTGGCCCCTGTGGGTCTGCTCCCTCCGAGCTTCTCCTCACTCCCTGCTGGAACCCACGGTCTCTCCTCGGCCTCTCTGCCCCGTGCCTCAGTTTCCCCCGGGCTGACAGAAAGGGATGCCTGTGTCCCCCCCGTATCCCCAGACCCCCAGAGTGCCCTGCAGTGCAGGGGGGGGCTGTGGGGGTCCCCAGACACAGGGGGTCCCTGTTCCCAGCCCTAAACCCGCAGCAGGGGGAGGTGGGTGACACCGGTGTCACCACGGGGAGAGGGGTCCTCCTGCACCAGGGCAATGCTCTAGTGCCCAAGATTATTGGTTGTGGTGGGGTGTAGTGTGTGGGGGTGTGGGGTTTAGTTGGTGGGTGGTGGTTTTGGGTTTGTTGTTTTTGTGGTGGGGTTTTTTTGTTTGTTTGTGGGGGTTTTTGGGTTGGTTTTTTTTTGTTTGTTTGTTTTTTTCTTTTTGGTTGGACTCGATGGTCTCAGAGGTCCCTTCCAACCACTAAGATTCTGTGATTCTGTGACTGGGGAGCAGGGGCTGGCAGGAGTGAGAAACTGGGTGACCAGCCCTGTCCCCTTCTCAGTCCCCTGGCCTGGGGTGGCTGGGAGTGGAGGAGGAGGAGGAGGAGGAGGAGCATGCCGGGGAGGAAGGAGGGCGGCTGCCGACTGGTCGTGCTGGTTTTGGAGGGGGTGGTGAGTTTTAGGGTGCTGGAGGCGGGTGCTGGGTGCCGAGGGCAGTGCAGTTTTGCTCCGGGGGCTCGTGGGAGGCAGTGGTCATGCCTGGAGGCAGCGCTGTGGGTCCCTCGTGCCATGGTGGCCACCAACATCATGTCCACTGGTGGCCAACCAACATCTGGGGCATTAACCCGGGGAGGTGCCGGCTCCAGGCCGGGGGCTGCACGTGGGGCTGTTCCCAGGCTGAGAAACAT